CCCAGCATTATTTGCTGAAGAGGCTATCTTTTCCCTGGTGTATATTTTTGGCACTTTTCATAAGTATCAGGTGGTCATAAGTGTATGGGTTTATTTCTGGGCTTTCTATTCTGTTCTATTTGTCTACTTGTAAATTTTTATGCCATTACCATGCTGTTTTGGTTACTACAGCTTCATAATATATTTTAGTAAGGAAGTGTGATGACTCCAACTTTGTCCTTTTTTTTTTTTCCTGATGGTGAGCAAAGCAGCTGAACATTGTATTTCTTTGCAGTGCTGACATTTCCTTTGCACAATTTATTTATACATACATTTTTTAATTTAATATTTTTATTCTGAAATTGTACAATTTTTTTAGTGCACAAAAAAGCCATTCTATTGTAAATTATGGTGATTCTTAAGAGTGGCTCTTTGGGTTTTAAAAAATTAATTAATTAATTACTTTTGAATATTCATGAGATGCAAAGCTGATTGTCTCCCATCCTGTCCACAATATGGGGGCCAGATTCACATTGGGGACATACCCATTTCCAGAAATTGCTTTTGTACCTTTTGTCGCCTCCCAATTATCCCCCAACCTCCCTCCCCTTCTCCATCTCCCCTCAACTTCAATATGTAGCCGTAGGAATGTTCCCTTCCTCTGTTGGATCATGGGACTACTGAGGTCTTTCTTTCCTTCCTCCTTTATCTCTTAGCTCCCACATATGAGTGAGCACATGAGGTATTTATCCCTCTGTGCTTTGCTTGTTTCACTTGATGTGAGTTTCTCCAAGTTCCTTATCTTTTTTTCACATTTCCCATCTTGAAGTCTATTTCATATGATATAACTATAGCTACCATTTGCAAGAAATGTCTTTTTCCTATTACTTTAATTTCAGACAATGATTGTCTTTATCAGTGAAGTAGTTTCTTGTAGGCAGTGTATTGTTGGTTCTTGTTTTATAATCCATTGAGACACTCTGTCTTTTAATTGGTATATTTAATGTTTATAGTTAGAGTTATTACTGGTATATGGGGACATGTTACTGCCATTTTGTTATTTTTTTCTGGTTTTCTAGATCCTTATTTTTTCTTTTATCTTTTCTTACTGTCTTCCTTTGAGGTTGAGTGGTTTTTTCTAGGATCATCTTTTGATTTCTCACTATTTGTTTATAGTATGTTTCTTACAAGTTTTGTGTTATGCTTTACATGAGACTTAAAAAAAAACGACATATATGTAACATTATTTTAGGCTAATAACAACTTAACTTTGATATCTTAGAAAAATGAAAAACCCAAAGTCAACTCTATGCTTTGATGTCGTTTTCCCCACTTTTTGACATTTTGTTGTTTCGAGTTACATCTTTTAATATTGCCTATCTCTCATATGGTTGCTGTATTTGTTATCATCCTGTTAGGTTTGTCCTTTAGTCTTCATAGTAAAGATATAATTGGTTTGTTCAGCACCCTTACAACACTGGAATATTTCAAGGTTGCGTGTATACTTATTTTACTACTGAGTTATGTACCATCAAATGTTTTGCTACTCTTTAGTGTCTTTCTTTCAGATTGAAGAGCTCCCTTTAGCAGTTCTTGTAAGGCAGGTCTAGCACTGATGAATTCCCTTAGCTTTTGTTTGTCTTAGAAAGACATTGCTTCTCCTTCATATATTTTTTTTTTTGTCTTTTTATTTTGTAACCGGTAAGGGGATTGCAACCCTTTGCTTGGTGTCATCCGCACCACGCTCAGCCAGTGAGCTCACCGGCCATCCTTATATAGGATCTGAAACCGCGGAAGGAGCACCGCTGCGCTCCCAAGCGCTCCACTCTCCCAAGTGCACCACGCGGCCGGCCCTCTCCTTCATATTTTAAGGTTAGTTTTGCTGGATATGGTATTCTTGGCTGGCAGTCTTTTTCCTTCAGTTCTCTGAATATATCCACCCATTCTCCTCTGGCTTACAGGGTTTCTACTGAAAATCTACTGAGGGATGTATTAGGGCTCTGTTAAAAGTTATGTATTTCTTTTCTCTTGCTACTTTCAGTATTCTTTCTTTGTCTCTCTGGTTTTTAATAATTTGATTATAATGGGCTTTGGGGTCTTCCTCTTTGGGTTGAATTGATTGGTGACATCTGTGCTTGGATGCTGTCATCTTTTTCCATACTTGGGAGATATTCAGCCATTATTTCCTTGAATATGCTTTCTATGTCTCACCCTTTTTCATTTCCTTTGGACCAATTATACAAAGATTACTTTGCTGCAAGGAGTCCCATAATTGCTGCATTTCTGTTTCATTTTTTTCTTATTCTTTTTTTTTTGCTCCTTAGATTGAATA